GAAAATGGAAGAACGAGATGGGTAAGAACTGGAGAGGAACGAACTGAGATGGGGAAGAAGTAGATTGAAGGGCTACAGGAGAGTACTAGAGGAACGAGATGGAAGATGAGGAAGAGCCAGATGAGGGAGAAGGAGACGGGAGAGGAGATGATATGGGAAGGAACAAGATGGATGAGAACCTAGAAGGGGCAGAACTAGATGAAGGAATTAAGATAGAACCTAGAGGGGACAGTAGATAAATATAGAGAGATATCAGACAAGAAAGGAGCTAGACATAAGAACAGAACTGAAGCTGTGTATAAAGGATGTTATGCCAGAGGAATTAAAGCAAGTGGACTATGGAACTCGGTGTGCTGAGATTATATTTCCTGATAATAGTTCTCGCCGTTAGTAGTTCTCTCTCCTGAGCCCCTGGGATGTATAATATTAAGGCTGGTCCCTCTAATATTATACAAGAGCATTTGATGTTGACCTTGTGTGTGTATGTGTATATGTGTGTGCGCGCACACGCATGCGAATCGGAGGTGATCCAAAGTTAGGTGTGGGAGGAGAAACACGTGAGAAGGGAACCTGAGGGAGTCAAGGAAGGGATGTAGGTGTGCTCTTGAGGGAGGAAGTCCAGTCAGGTGGTCCACAGAGTCCCATACTCTACCGAATTCAGGAAAAAAGACTGGAAAATCCTTCCAGATGTGGCCAGGATGGACTGTGCCATACACAATGATAGAAAACAACAAAATTAGTCTTTCCTTTTGTTTTTCTTTTAATAGTGCTGGGGATGGAACTTGGTCTGCTTTTCCTCCCGTTCTCCAGGTGAGCTCTATCAGCTATCAATCATCCTCTCCTCTGAATCTGGAAACAATGGAGAATCACATTCAAGAGCATCCCTGGCCGCCTCGGCTCTGGAAGCCCCACTCTGTCAACCAATGACACCCTGTGCTTGCAGCTTCCGCCCGTGACTTCTACTCCAAGTTCACTAACCACTCCCAGCTACGGCCCTAGGATGTCTCTGGTAGAGGAGGACTATTGATACCCGATGAACTGTAGACTGACACAGCAAGGCAGGCTGGGGAGATAACTCAGTTGGGTTCAAGGCCCAGAACCCACATGGGGTCAGGCATAGCAGCACACATGTGTGGTCTTAGTGTTCCTGTGGTGAGAGGAGAGGCAAAAACAGGAATTCTCCAGAGCTTGAAGGCTGCAAAAGACCCTCTCTCAAGGTAGAAGGCAAAGACTGACACCTGAGATTGTCCTCTGCCCACTCCATGCATTCCATGGAGTGCATGTATCCGCACTCACATACATGAACAATATCCACACATGCACAGTAACGTGCCATGGGCTAGGGATGTGGCTCAGCTGGCAGAGTGCTTGCATAGTGTGCATGAAGCCCTGGGTTCCATTCCGAGCACTGAATACACTGGACATGATGTTCAGGTGGTGCCGGTAGGAAGATCAGGAGTTCAAGGCCATCCTCTCCTCTGTAGGAAGTTCCAGGCTACAAGGAGAGTCTCAAAAACAAGATCTGTCATAGCAGTGGGTGCCAGGTTGGGGGTGGTGGGCAGGTGAACAGTTCGGGGGGACTCTTTATGTGGTGTCTCTTGTATCTGCTCTATGAATGCTGTCATTCCTGGAAATAATTAGATCACAAGGCTCCTGAGGATGGGGACTGTACCCTTGAACTGTGTGTATGACGCTTACACCTGAGGCCGCACCAGGGATTTATCACAAGAATGCAGGGAAGGGGTCAAAAACTGCCTGGGTCTCTTGCAGCCTCATGGTGAAGATATGTGTCTGTTTAGACAGTCTTCCTATGTAGCCCAGGCAGGACTAGATCTCACAGTGACCTTCCCAAGGACTGGGATTACAAATGTGCATCATCAAGCCAGTCACCAACCTGTTTCTTCAAATTCTAGCCACCAGACTATATGTTGGTGGAGTATTAAAGATGGTCATGAACTCCTCTGTCCTAGAGCTCCTCCTCTGCACCCCTGACTCAAACTCCAATACTGGGCATTGAACCAGGGCCATAAACATGCTTAGCCATTGCTATGTTGGTCTCACCTCTTACAGAAATTGTTGGGATTCAGTTCTACCCCTGAACCACGCTTCCAGCCCCTCACTGGGGGATTCTAGGCAGGTACTCTACCACTGAGCCACACTCCAGCCCCTCACTGGGGGATTCTAGGCAGGTGCTCTACCACTGAGCCACACCCCAGCCCCTCACTAGGGGATTCTAGGCAGGTGATCTACCACTGAGCCACACCCCAGCCCCTCACTGGGAATTCTAGGCAGGTGCTCTACCACTGAGCCACACCCCAGCCCCTCACTGGGAATTCTAGGCAGGTGCTCTACCACTGAGCTATACCCCAGCCCCTAGAATTCCCTCATCCTTTTCCGACTGTGTTGCTTTGACTTGGCACTATGTACCCAACCATCACTTGGGAAATGTGCTGTGGAGTTCAGATTGCCAATAGACATCCAACTAAAGCCATGTGAAACACAGTACAAATATTTCATAGACCAAAGATAGGTAAACAAATATTCTGGATGTGTGGTACAAGTTTTCTTCTGATACTTTTAAGTAAGCAAATGCCTGGTGGATGAAAAAGACACTTGCTTAGATTCCCAACTGAATGATCAGCAGCTGAAATGTGGGGTTATGGCACGGGGGAGATAGCCTCACTGTGTCTCGCTCCACTTCTTAATTTGGTTCTCTGTCCCACCAGCCAGCTCCCAAATAATGACACAGAGAGACTTATTAATTATGAAAGCTTGGCTTGTTTCTAACTAGCTTTTATAACTTAAATTAACCCCTTTCTGTTAATCTACATGCTACCATGTGGCTCGTGACTTCTACCGCTCCTTCTGCATGTCCTGGTTCCTCTGCTCCTGCTGGTGACTCCCCCTCTCTGTCCCAGAGCTCCCTCTGGCAGGAAGTTCCACCTACACCTCATGCCTAGCTGTTGGCCATTTAGCTTTTTATTAAACCAATTACAGTGACATATCTTTACACAATGCAATCAAATACCTCTCAACATTTGGTGATGTCATGTTCAATGTGTGGGAACCATTTTACTGCAGAATCAGGGTTGATAATGCCTGACCACTTGTGCCAGTAGGATTTCTGACCCATCTTGAATCTCCTCACCCATCTCCCCCACCCCTGATACTGGTAATTGAACCCTCTTGCCTCACTCTAATGCAGACTAAACCATACCCCAGCCCCTCACTGGGGGATTCTAGGCAGGGGCTCTACCACTGAGCCACACCCCAGCCCCTCACTGGGGGATTCTAGGCAGGGGCTCTACCACTGAGCCACACCCCAGCCCCACACTGGGGGATTCTAGATGCTCTACCACTGAGCTACACTCTTAGCCCTTGTTTTATGTTTTATTTTGATACATGATCTCACTGTGTAGTCCAAGATGACCTTAAAATGATGATCCTCCTGCCTCAGCCTACTTGCTGGGTGTTAGACTGACAGACCTGCACCGCCACACCCAGCTATTTCATGTCTCAAGTCACCAGCAGTAATAGATTTATGCCCACTTGCAGCTGATTACTACCCATACAAAAATTGTGTGACTTGAAGACACGAAATTAGAAAAGAAAAATGAGACCCATTGAGAGCATGCTAAAGACAGCCCCTGCAAGGATGTTTCCAGCCTTCCATCAGAAGAATTCTATTATTGATGCCGAGCGTGCAGGCTGTGCATTGATTTCCTCTACCCACAGAGGCCACCTCCTCTCAGCATGCAATGCAGTCACCAACACGAAATGGATCCACACGCTCCTCCTCCCACCATGAGGCTCTTTGGCCTGTGGCCAGAGCCAAAGCCTCCAAAGCGGAACTCAGCCCCTCACAGACTGACAGTTGTGGAGGTGTTTCTGGGGCAGTGGAGTGGCAAGAGGACAAAAGGGACAGCAGGGGACCAGCCGGTACAAAGGCATGGAGGGGGACCGGGGACTCTAAAGAAAGCCCGCAGCCTCTTCAGCATGGGCTCCAGTGACGGTTTCTGAGTTTCTGCAGATGGTGACATCCAGGGCGGGGGAACTGAGCATCCTCCAGCCGCCACTGCCACTTGTGTCTATACAAAATGACTTCGGTATAAAAGGCTGGACTGTGCAGCAGCCTTGCCAGCCGGATTCCGTTTCCCCCCACCCCTCTCTCTGGCTGGTCCATTGGAAATGCCTGGTTGCAGTGTCCAAGTGCAGCAGCAAAGGGCACTGACAGACTCAACGGGGTAACTTTGGATTCTCCTGTGGGCTTTGTTTGTTTTCGAGGCAGGGTTTCTCTGTGTAGCTTTGGAGTCTGTCCTGGAACTTGCTTTGTAGACCAGGCTGGCCTTGAACTCACAGAGTGCCTCCCAAGTTCTGGGATTAAAGGTGTGCGCCGCCGCCGCCGCCGCCGCCGCCGCCGCCGCCACCACCACCATCCGGCCTCTTGTGTTCTTACTTTTACTAAGGTCCTGGGCATAGAACCCAACACTTGTGAATGGTATTGCTCTACCACTGAGCCACACCCCCGCCTCTCACTGGGGGATTCTAGGCAGGTGCTCTACCACAGAGCCACACCCCAGCCCCTCACTGGTGATTCTAGACAGGTGCTCTACACTGAGTCACACCCCAGCTCCTCACTGGGGGATTCTAGGCAGGTGCTCTACCACTGAGCCACACCCCAGCTCTCTTTTTACTGTTTTGGTTTTGGTCTTTGAGACAGGGTCTTACTATGTAGTCCTGGCTCCCCTGGAAACTCACTGTGTAGCTCAGATTCACCTTGAACTCTTGAGCAATCCTCTTGCCTCTAGGTATGTCTCATAATCCTCAGCTTTGTTTGTTTTGTTTTGCTTTGCTTTTTACATTTTAATTTTCAGACAGAGGCTCACCAAATTGTTGAAACAAATTGTGCAGCCTGGGATGGCCTTAAACTCATGATCCTCCTGCTTCAGCTTTCCAAGTATTTAGGACCATAGGCCTGAACTAATCAGGCCAGTCCAAAATTATTATTATTCATTTCAAGTTCTGAAATGAGCCTCAGCTGTCCCCTGCCTTAGGAATTGTAGCCTTCAATCTGGGAGGAAACAGTGGGAACCTCACCCTTGCTGATCAGCAACACCATGAAGTCATCCATTTGTTTTCAGCTCTGTTGGGTCCTGGGGCTTCTGAATTAGTAATAACCCACCCAATTTGCCAGGGACTGGCTGTGCATTCCCACCTAGCCATACTGCTTTACCCCTCCAGTCTCAGCATTAAATATTGAAGCCCTGAGCCCCGACGGCTCCATTTTGAGGCAGCGGAGTTTGGGTGGCTCAACCCACACCGTTGGCTGCCTCTGTGGTTCATTATTTTCATCTGTGCATGTTGGCTGGGGATGCAACACTGCCTCTCCTCTCCGCTCCACTGGTACTGATTTGAAATTGAAAGGGAGTTGATTTCCGGGGCCTCCAAGAGGGAATACTGTTATCTCCAGCTGCTACACCCACAAAGGGTACTGACTGATCTGGTGATCTTGAGATGCACCTTGCGCCCTGTGGGGCAGAGGAGGTGTTAGGGGTCAGCCAGTGTGTTGGGGTCTGAGCAATACCTACTTCATATGACAGACATACTTCCCAGGGTACAAGGAGAGAAAAGCATACAATCATAGTTTTTAAGCTTTCTGGAAAGTAAAGATGCGATGGATGGATGGATGGATGGATGGATGGATGGATGGATGGATGTACACATGTGTAAGAAATGGATAGAGCCAGGCAGGCGTAGTGGCACAGGTCTTAATCCCAGAACTCGTGAGGCATAGGCAGGTGGATCTCTTGTGAGTTTGAGGTCAGCCTGGTCTATGTAGTAAGTTCCAGGACAACCAGAGCTACATAGTGAGACCCTATCTCAAAAATAAACAAACAAACAAACAACAAACAAAAAAAAAAACTCCCAAAAGAGATAGATATATGATAGATGGATGGATGATATACATGGGTATATGGATATGTAAGTAGATTATGGAAGACAGACAGACAGATATATATAGATAATAGATCATGTAGATGATAGATAAGTGGACATATGGACAGATGAATAGATGGGTGATAGACATGTACATTGATAGGTAGATGGATGGATGATAGACAGACAGAGAGATGGCTTCTGTCACAGCAGAGCCCAGTGTAGGCAGGAAAAGTGGAACCAGGTCAGAAGTGGAGATGTGTAAAGGGGACAAGCCTCCTTTGCCACCATTCAGGAAAGTTGCCCACAAGAGGTGTGTGCATCAGGAGGGACCCTTATCATGAATATGCCACAGACAGAGAAGGGTGGGGTCCTCCAAAGGCCCTAACCTCTCCAGCAAACTCAGCTGAATCCGGCGGTCAGCATCACCTCCAGGACCATTGCTGTGGGTGGCTCTGGAATATTTACCTATGTCTGGCTTGTGTGCATGAGAATGTGTGTTGCAGGTACATGTGTGTGGAGGCCGCAGGTGGACTTGTGGTGTCTCCCTCTATTGTTCTCCACCTACTTCTTTGAGACAGGATCTCTCCAAGAACCTGGAGCTCATCAATTGCTAGGCTGGCTGGCCAGTGAGCTCCAAGGATCCATCTGTCTCTGCCAGCCCAGCACTGGATTGCAGTTGCGGGCCAGCACCCATGGCTTTGAAAAGTTGTGCTGTTGGCGACCAAACAGGTCCTCGTGTGAAAACAACAAGCACTTCCCCGATTGGGCCTTTGTTCATCGATGTGCTGATTTATCTGGGACAATATCTCACTCTGTAGCCCAGGCTGGCCTGGAACTCACTAGGTAGCCCTGTTTGGAGTCACACTGAGTGGTAACCCTCCTGCCTCAGCCATCAGGGTGCAGCAGTTATGTGCACATGCCATGAGCGCCAGTGACCCTGGGGTCTCTAAGGAAAGCACAGGCCTCTGCCTGAGGTCGGAGATGCCAGAAAGGTCTGTCCCTCAGCTGCCCCGGGAGGCTCGGTTCATCTCAGAATTGTCTATAGCCTTTGTCAAGCCCCCGTGCTGAGCTGCTGGCTGACTGGAGCGGGTGGGTCCTGGTTCCACCGGTTCAGCCCCAGAGCTCTGTTTAGAAGAGGAAGAAGCAGGGCAGCGGAGTAAGGCTGGTCCCCAGAGAAAGGGGCAGAGGGAGGCAGGTGCAGACCTCCTGGGCAGCAGTCCCTGCCAGGTTCCTGTCACCAAACCCACAGCCCCAGGGGCTCCCTTGACTGAGCCTTGGAAAGTTCCCCCATGTCCTCCTCTGCCAGCCACTAAGCAGTGACAACGGATACTAATTGTGGCCATAAATTACCAAGCCCTGCCTGGCGGGCCTCTGGATCAGAAACAACAAGGGAATACCCAGGATCACCTGCCAAAAGAAGGCCCTGCCCCGCTGGCTTGTCCAGGTCCTCCCCACCCTGCAGGACATGGAAAGCTCTGTTGACAGGTCAAAGCCCAAGATCTTAGCCGGTCAACCGCCAGGCGGCTGGATTAGGCTTCATTTTTATTTTCCTTCTAGCTCTGCGGATGGTGTCCAAGGCCTTGTGTGTGTAAGACAGGGGCTTCACCACTGAGCTACACCCCAGCCCCTCACTGGAGCACTCTAGGCAGGTGATCTACCACTGAGCTACACCCCAGCCCCTCACTGGGGGATTCTAGGCAGGTGC